GCTCTCTCCCCCCCTCCTGCTGCTGCGGCGGCCTCCTCCCCCCCTCCTCTTCCCCTCTTCCCTGCTGTCGTCGTCGTGCCGCCGCCGCCGCTGCCGCCTCCGCCGCCGCCGCTCCCTCCTCCGCCGCCGCCGCCGCCGCCGTTCTCGTCGTTGTTCTCGTCGTCGTCCTCGTCTCGTCGTCGTCGTCGCCGTCGTCGCTGGCGTTGTTATTGTTGTCGTCGTCGTCGTCGTCGTCGTCGTCGTCGTCGTCGTCGTCGTCGTCGTCGGCGTCGTTGGCGTCGTCGTTGTCGTCGGGGTGCGGTCCTCTCCCTGCCTTGGGCTTGTGGCCCCCTCTGGGGGGGTGGCGTCCGATGGTAGTGGTGTAGTGCTCAGTTCCCCCGCCCCTCGCCTCCTGCGTCCTTCTCGTTTCGGTCACAACGTTGCTTTGCATGTTTTTGTTCGTTTTTTTATCTGTGCGCTGTCCCCCGATCTCGGGGGCGGCGCCCGCCGCCCAGGGGGAGACAGGGACGGTTTGCTCTCGGAGCTTCCCGTGCCCTGCGCCCCCCTCGCGCGGCTTCAGAACCTTGTTTGATCTTGCCGTTCGCTCTCGTCCTCCTGCCTCCTCCTCCTTCTCCTCCTCCTGCGCCTTGCGTCGCATCGGCAACCGTGGCACTAGGTGCCCGCTCATTTGGCGAAGCGGCATTGCCCTTCCAACCAGGCTAGTTCGGGGCCTACTTCAGCCTGCGGCCCCAGTTTGCACTAGACTCGCGTGGGACTCCTGAGCGCGCGCCAGTTCTGGCACTGCCCAGAGCGTCTGGGCTTCGCACGCGCAAGGTGCTCCGACGAGCATTCGGTGGCTTGTCACTCTCCTTCGGCATCTCTCCTTCTTCTTCTCCTCCATCTCCCCCGGCCCGCGCTTAGTGCGACACGCCGGCGTCCACCCAGCAACTGTGCTGTCAGGTGTTGATTGCTTCGGTTGGTTGTCCATTCGCTTTCTTCTTTTCTCCTCTTTCCCCTTCGCTGCCTCTCTTGCCTCCTAGCTGCGGTTCGATGTTGGCCCTTTCTTCATTTGAATTACGGGTTGACTCTATAGGGTAGTCCACAGGTGTCGCCGCAGCATTTCTTTAATCTGATAGCCGCCGCCTCGCGCCTTCTCGTGGCCTCCTCCGCCGCTCGGCTTCTGGCATGGGCCAGCTCCCGCGGGAAGCGTGTATCACCGTCCGTGGCCCAGGAAACCCTCGAGCCACCAGAGAACTCCAAAGGGGCAAAAAAAAGGAGGACGAGGGGGAGGAGGAGTAGGAGTAGGAGTCAAGCTAGCCAGCTCGAGCGAGTCAAGCATGGCATGCCCAGTCCCACCCGCCCTTCCACAACATAAGAAGCAAAGCTGGCACAACTGGGGGCCGAAGTCACACCGGCCAGCCGGTTTGGTACAGCTGATGCGGCCGCGATGGCGGTTGCCGACGGGAACTGGCGAGCGCGTGTTGAATGCCGCGCACGCATTGCCAGACGAGTCGAGAATGGCCCGGTACACCGCAGGAAGCCAGAGGTGGCCGGAGGAAGCCCGACGGTCTGATAGGACACCCCAAAGCATTTTTGTGAAAAAGCATGGGTTTTTTTTTATGTTTTTATGTTGAAATGCTTGCAACAACACGGAATTCGGTAGGATTCTGACATGAACGCGCGAGTGTGCTCTGTGTAGTATTTTTTTGCACAGAATTCGCGGCCTGGGTGCATGACGGAGCATCGCGAGTGCACCGCGCGATGACGTGAAATCGCTGGATTTGACAGAATTCTTAAGATTCCTATGGTTTTCCTATGATTTCAGCAAGAGAGCCCGGGCAGGAAATTTGTACATTTTTTTTTGTGAAAAAAGCATTGGGTTTTGATGTTTTTATGTTGAAATGCTTGCAAACACACGGTGTTCGGTAGGATTCTGACATGAACGCGCGCGTGTGCTCTTTGTGGTATTTTTTGCAATGGGTTATCGCCGTGGACGACAGGACGTCCATGTCGAGAGGAAAAAATAAGAAAAATGTTGATTTTGTATTGTTTTTTACAGGTTAGGATGGGACCACCCGGATGCGCCCGCTATCTGCCGGCCTGAGGGGGGAGTAGGAGTATATTCTAATAAGGAATAAGGATAGGAGTAGGAGTAGGAGTAGGAGTCAAGCTAGCCAGCTCGAGCGAGTCAAGCATGGCATGCCCAGTCCCACCCGCCCTCCCACAACATAAAAAGCAAAGCTGGCACAACTGGGGGCCGAAGTCACACCGGCCAGCCGGTTTGGTACAGCTGATGCGGCCGCGATGGCGGTTGCCGACGGGAACTGGCGAGCGCGTGTTGAATGCCGCGCACGCATTGCCAGACGAGTCGAGAATGGCCCGGTACACCGCAGGAAGCCAGAGGTGGCCGGAGGAAGCCCGACGGTCTGACAGGACACCCCAAAGCATTTTTGTGAAAAAGCATTGGGTTTTTGATGTTTTTATGTTGAAATGCTTGCAAACACACGGTGTTCGGTAGGAT